TATTTTGTCAAAACCCGCATACACGTAAAACCACGTGAAGTTTAAAATTCTTTTAAAACCCAATATTACCCCCTGACCCCTTCCTTCTTCCCCTTCCTCTGAAGTCTGACCGACAACCCCTTCCTTGTTCCCCTTCCTCTGAAGTCTGACCGACAACCCTTTCCTTAGTTTTTTTGGGTTTGTTCTCAATGAGATCTAGCATTGAAATCCATTTTGCATTAGAAAGCCAAGACATTCCTAGTTATTTCTTACTTCTATCACAAGTTTTAATGTCGGAGGAGCTTATCTTTCCTGTAAACCAATGCTTTAGGGTAGGGTTTATTTCATCTATCACCGGTGATTGTATATTTTTCTACTTAGAAAGTAGCTCAACTCGGTGCTCTATTGCTCTTGCCTTCCTAGATTCTTCTTAGCTTAGGTTTGAAGGCACTTCGGCTTCCAAGTTTGCTGTTGCCGAACATTTTTTCGTTAATTTGTTTCTTTTCTCATCTGAATTTTTAGGATTTCCTGTTTGGTGAATGGTGATCATCATTTAAGAAAGAGAATGGAAAGACACCCCCACCTAAGTCCAATTAGGCGTGCTCCAAACAGGTTTTCGAAGTACGACTAAACCATTGATTCCCTCCCCTTTGATCTTTTACCTCACCGCCCCACCTAAGTCCGTACAAAAATTCAATTGGTTCTTTCCATTCTTCTCCTGTCAATTTGCTTATAAGTCTGAGAAGATCTCCGGTCCAGCTATATTTAGGGCAAGAATCCTAAACTACAAAAAACCATGGATAAAGTATTAGGTAAACCTACCATGATTTCTAATGACAGAGAGGTTCCCACCAATCTAATTCCCAAATGCTAATATGAGGGAAAAGACAACAATCTCTCTCTCTCTCTCTCCTTCTTCTTCAACCTCACCTTCCTTGATTTTCCTCCCCTACTGGCGATTTGGATCGAACCTCCTTCACTGGACAATGTGCATCTGAAATCTAAACAAGACGATCATTTCTAATCTAGGTTTCAGATCAGGAACAAGTAGTTTTTTTTCTCTCAGATCTCTACTATTATCAATCTCTCCGGTGGCTCTCATTGGGGTTATATCAAATCTGGGTTCAGATAAAAAACAATACAAGACGATCGTTCTTTTCTCTCAGATCTTCGCTGTCGTCGATCTCTCCGGTGGCTCCATCCGATTGAGTTTAAGGGTAAAATGGTCATTTTACATTTTTTGTCCATGTTTAATGACCCTAGTAATGTTTAGACAAAACATAAGGGAAGCGTCAATTAATTTTCAAATAGTAAAGGTACACTTAGTTAATTAGCTAAACCATAAGGATAGCTTAAGAAATTTACCCTATAAAATACTATTTTTCCTAACCAATTCCGATAAAGGAAAGGAAATAATTATGATCAACAAAATAATAATTGCAATTTGTAAAGGAAAGTTGTTTCATTTGGGAAAAACAATGTCAATAATATGACACGAATAAAATAATAAATCTAAGGTGGCGTTTTGATAAATCTGAAAAATTAAAAGATATTAAAAGTGTCTAAAATATGAAAAGAGGCATAGATGCTTTTTTACTTTTTAGAGGATCTAAATCCATAAGTTTGTTTGCGTTGGATCAATCATTTACCATATGAAATTTACTGATTTTACTATTTTACCCCTACAACATATTATTTGGAAATGTTGAGTTCAATTTGCATTATCTCATAAAAAATAATTTTCAACCTCAAAATAATATTGAAACAATAMAAATAAYAAATAATAAATTAATAATTACTAATTAATAAATGAAATGATTAAAATTAAAATTAAAATTAAAATAATTAATGACTATAAAAATATTAAAATAATTAATAATTAATAATTTACACGAATAAAAATTAAAATGATTAAAAATTACTAGTTAATAAAAATAATTAATAAATAACATGGGTAAATTTAATAAAAAAGTAATTAATTTTTAATAAAAATTAAAATAATTAATAATTAATAAAAATATTATTATTATTATTCACCAAACCACAACTACTACATGACAGTGGTAGTGGCGATGGTGGGAAGATAAGGGAGGGAGAGAGAGAGAGAGAGAAAGAGAGGGGCAGTGGCCTGAAGACAAGACAGAGGGAGAGAGCGAGTGAGAGAACCGCCACTGTGTGGGAAGCGGGAAGACAGGGGAGAGAGAGAGAGCGAGCGAATGAACCACCACTGCAAGTTGCAGTAACGGTGGCGGAAAGTGGGAAGATAGGGAGAGAGAGAGAATGAGAGAACCGTCGCTATAGTGGTAGGAAGCGGGAACACAAAGAGAGAGAGAGAGAGAGAGAGAGAATTGTGGTGGTGGCGGGAAGTGGGAAGATAGGGAGAGATAGAGAGAGCCGCAATTGCAGTGGCGGCGGTGGCGGGAAGACGGGAAGAGAGCGAGAGAAACTTGAGCATGCGAGAAGACAAGGGTAGCATGCGTCATTTCGAAAATATTGTAAGGGCAGCTTCAACCTTGCACCGAATCTGAAACGTGTTTGAGCGCATTAAAAACCGGCCCAAGGGCTACAAAATTAAGATCTAAAAATATGATTTGGATCAAATTTAAGAGAAGAAACCAAACAAGTGTTTGGATCTGAAAATAAATGTTTTCAGATTCAGACATCTGAAAAGTGTAATCAAACAAGCCCTAAGTATCTAACCGCATAAAAATGATTAATGGAGCTATGAAATAAAGAAAAAATAAGAAAATCAAAATCATATAAAACCTTTTGTTTTTAGTATTTTGGTCATAGATTCAAATCACCACTCAACGGTTGGCCATTAGCCTAATAGATATTACTTTGGCTATTGATCACCACTGCTCCGGTAGCTATTAGCCTATTATCATTGGCTGCTATGAAATGGCAGTGAGGTCTAGGTAGATGAGAGAGATTAGATTGAGATGTTGAAGGATGTGAAATGAGAGACCGGATCTGCTCCTCACACATGGCGCCTCTCAAGCGCTTCACACGTACATCCTATCATGCATTGGGAACATCTCCCGTACTTAATATTTATTATTCACGGGAGATGTTTCCCATTTGTGAGGAGTAGATCCCACTTCGTGAAATGAGGGGGAAAAAACAAGGAAATAAAGACTAAAAAACATAAAGGTTAAAACTCTAACTCCCAAACCTTATAACTTAATTTAAATGGGACGTGGACATGGGTCCATTCATGTATATATTTTCTTTATTTCTTACCTATTCACATATTTAAGAAGCCAAATTTTATTTGACCCCAAATATTTTATTTGAGTGGAGGGAATTGTAAAAAAAAGTTTAAATTTCTACATAACTATAAAAAAATTGATGCTATTATCCGAGTTGCAGCCGAATCAAACATACAATGAATAATTCTGCTAACTTGGACGAAATTGAAGTGGGAGGACAAAGTGGTGCATCGAGTGGATCTACAAATAGATGAAAGTTAGAGGCCCGATGAAGAAGTCGCTGGAAAAGGCACTCCAACACTCAAATTAGTAACAGAGGGTGAAGTCAGTTGGGCTGAGCCGCTAAAGAAAAACTTGTTCGAGTCAAGAAGGGAGTGAGAGAGTAATAAGAGCAAGAGACTGAAAGAGGTTAAAGATCACAAAGTGTGTGTGTATGGGGGGAGATGCCTTTAAATAGTTGAATGTCCCTATGTCCATGTTGTACTTGAACACACTACTTGCGGGGCTGTAGGGATGAAACTGCCTGCCGAAGTCTTCAGAAGGCTGACGATCTTATATGCTGACGTGGATTGAGGACGTCGACCACACTAAGGCACAACCCAAACAAAAACATTTTTCAAATCTCATTGGGGGCAACTGCCCGCACTGATTTTTGCATAAATCCACCACTACCCCAACCTTAATCCTTTAGGTCTGACTTGGGTTGGTCTCAAGTTAGCCCAACTTCTCTACATCCATTTTGCCAAATGTACTTATTTATGAGTTTTTGAGAGTTCATGTTATTAAGATATTATCATTATTATGTATAAAATAATATAATCATCGTGTTTAAAATAATTGCCTTTTTTTTGGTATTTTAACGAACACACTAATTACTCTCCAAATTAGGTGGGAATGAGTAATGGGGCTCGAATCCACATCTGACTACCCAGCTAACGTACCAACAGAGTTGGTAGAAAAAATTTGCCTTTAAACTAAAAATTATTGGTATACAATATAGTTGCATACATGTATAAGTAAATAAATAAAATAGATAAATATGTATATATAAATAAATAAATAAATACTTGCAACAAAAAATACATAAATATATAAATATATACATCCTGACTCAACACACTTCCAACATAATCTATATCTGCACATTTCGTCATGAGACTAGGACTCATCATGTCTATAATTTTATCGAAAAACTATGGATAGGTCTAATGTAGATTTTTGAATTCTATTGCAAATCTATAAACATTCAAAATATAAAAAATCTACATTCTATGCATTCATATTCACCCATGAATTGACATCAATTCTGAACTGACACCTATCCTAAATATACTTTAAACCTAAAATTTCTGACCCTGGGCTGAATCGTCATTCTTCTTAATTTTATTTTAGACAAATCCAAACTAGAATTACATATACATAATTACTTACAATCTTATATTCATAAACACATATTTATTTAATATTTATACATGTAAATATGCAAATATGATGTTACAAGCAGGATTTGGATTGAATTGGATGGATAAGGCTTCAAACCATCAACCCTAAATTAAATCGTTCTACGTTCGGACTAACCCAACCCAAGTTGCAGCCTACACATTGGAGAATGGGCTCTGAAGATTGGAAATTTGGAATTCAGATGAAACCATTCTAACCCAAAAAAATTTGTTTTCTCATCATTTTATTGAGATGCAGCCCATCGGCCCCAGGATTCAAGTCCAATTCAAGGACATATGTGCCATTAAAAAAATGAATGGGTAGATCTTGGTCATTGTGGCGCAAATGATCCCTTAATGGTTGGACGCTCACCTTGTATATAAACCCGAGGTAGGGTTTTGAGCTGAGCTTTGAGCTCAGGTATAGCGTACGCCGCAAGACGGTTTCTCCCTCCATTTATCGGAGCATCGTCAGGTCTCTCTCTCTCTCAATCTCAATCGATTGATCGATTAGGCTTTTGTTATTCAGTTGAATTCTTCGTTTATTTTCTTCGTGCAATCTAAGTTCTCCGCTAACTACTTCGATACGCCGTCATTAATACGAGACAAAGCATATTGGTATTTGCTCCTTTCAGTATTTGCACTTGCCCGAGCTGAGATATCCGGTACATGAAGACTAGGAATTGAGTTTGGGGGTTCTTTTTTTTTTGAAGTTCTGAGTTTGGGGGTTGTAGATGCGATTTTTCTGTTCTCAGATAAATGTAGATCTATGCCTTACTTAGGTTGGGGATCTTGAATACTATGAGATTGATTGCTTATGGCATTTAATTGTGCAGTTTTTATACCTAGATTGTACCTCATATTTTGGGAATTAAGTCTTCAATCAATATTTTGTCTTTTTTTGTTGTTTATTTTCTGTAGTTCCACATAATGGACTACATGAAGAGGATTATTTGTGCATTGTGAGTCTGTGACTTCTAAATATCTGTTTCTTGTAATGTTAAAATTGCATCTCCAGGGTGAAGGAGGAGGATGTCTCACAGGAAGTTCGAGCACCCTAGGCATGGGTCCCTTGGGTTCCTTCCTAGGAAGAGGGCATCTCGTCACAGAGGAAAAGGTATGCTTAGTTTCTATTGTTCTAACATGAGTGCTTATCTGTTTTTACCAAGAGAAAATTAATTTCTTTTGTTGAACTGTCTTATTTCTGCTTTGCATATCTTTTGAAAAGTTCCATGTGTTGTTTTTGGGCGGAATATACTTGTGGAAATATCTGCCCCATTCTTAGTTTGGGGTTGTTACATTCTACTTTATATCCTGTATTTGCAACAATTTAGTTACCTTTTCTTTTCTTTTTTTCTTCTCCTACTGGAGAGGATATTCATGATTTGCATTCATTTTTCTTTCTTGCAAAACAAGATTTTGTGGTTCTTTTTTTTGTTCATTTTTTATGCGTCAATTCGGCATCCCATTAATTTTATGCATTTTTAAATAATGACTGCTGTTGAATCTAAGATATTTATGTTGTGGATAAATGCAGTGAAGGCTTTTCCCAAGGATGACCCAACCAAGCCTTGCAAGCTAACTGCCTTTTTGGGCTACAAGGCTGGGATGACTCACATTGTCAGAGAAGTCGAGAAACCTGGATCAAGTGAGAACCTTTTGTATTAATGCATTGCTCTTTCTGTGCAGCTGGGGATGTCATTATCTACATTTGCAGTGTCATAATATTTTATTTTATATTTGGATAACTTGTCACTCTGTCTTGCATTCCCTGCATGAAATGACTAGTATTAGTTGTTATCGTGGCTGGTGCTCCATGGATAAATAATATTGATAGACAAGTCTCTGAAATCTAAGACATTGTTCCACTGGGATTTGATTATGGTATGAAGTTTCAAATGTCTTCATCTTATCTTCTACCCTGTTTTGGATACTTTATGCACATTGTAGAAGACTATTAGTCTAAACTGTTTATATCATTTTGAAACATATTGCTTTCAATGGTATGGTGTCTGGGTGAGTGTCTTTCTGACAGTCTTATTTATTTATTTTAAAAATGAACTAATTGTTTTGCTGGACATTCCAAGTTGTAAATTCAAATATTCTTTTATGTTGCATTTTATTAGGTGCAGATAATGACTTTATATGGTTTCTTGTTGAATTTACTAAATACCAATTTGCCATTGAAGTCATGTACTTGTCTTTATTCTTGTAGAGCTTCACAAGAAGGAGACATGTGAGGCTGTCACAATCATTGAAACACCACCAATGGTTGTTGTTGGAGTGGTGGGCTATGTAAAAACTCCTCGTGGTCTTCGTTCTTTGAACACAGTTTGGGCCCAGCATCTGAGTGAGGAGGTCAAGAGGAGGTTCTACAAAAATTGGTGCAAGTCCAAGAAGAAGGCTTTCACCAAGTACTCTAAGAAATATGAGTCTGAAGAAGGGAAGAAGGATATCCAATCTCAGCTTGAGAAAATGAAAAAATATGCTTCTGTCATCCGTGTTTTGGCTCACACTCAGGTACTTATCTTCTTATACGTTGCATTTCATTTAATCCAGCATAATATCTTTTTGTGATTCATTTTCTCCTGTATGTGCATTTCATTCAATCCATCATGATATCTTTTTGTGGTCCATTTTTCTCCTTTATGATGCCATTTCATTTAATCTTTTTATATGTTTCTGTCATTCATTTAGCAGGTACATGTCTCTTGATGCCAAAACTTCCTCTGTTGATTGTAAATGATTTTGAGAAGTTAATTATTAAATTCCAGCATTAAAATAAACCATAACTTGACCTTAATAATTGATATTGCCAAACAGGAATTTTGTAAAAAAGATTAAACGAACAACTGTTTTTCATGCTTCCTATGCCTCTCGCACACCATACACTAAGTTCAGTGTGACATGGCACAAATATCAGTAAAACTCTAATTTTGCATTGATTCTTCAAAAGGTTTGGTAGAATAAGCTTGTGGTTCTAATTTTGTACTGATTTGACATCGGAGATTAGTATTTCATAGAACTTACAATTACACTTTCGCATTTGCTTTATGCTTGTTACTGCAAGTTAAAATATGGTTTGTCATTGTTCCTGTTGCAGATTAAAAAAATGAAAGGGCTGAAACAGAAGAAGGCTCATCTAATGGAGATCCAGGTGAATGGTGGAACCGTTGCACAGAAGGTTGACTTTGCTTATGGCTTCTTTGAGAAGCAGATCCCAGTGGATGCAGTTTTCCAGAAGGATGAGATGATTGATGTCATTGGTGTTACCAAGGGTAAAGGTTATGAGGGTGTTGTCACTCGTTGGGGTGTCACCCGTCTCCCTCGCAAAACCCACAGAGGTCTCCGCAAGGTAGCTTGTATTGGTGCCTGGCACCCTGCTAGGGTCTCCTTCACAGTTGCCAGAGCAGGTCAGAATGGATACCACCACCGTACTGAAATGAACAAGAAGATTTACAAGATTGGCAAGACTGGACAGGAGTCACATTCAACCATGACCGAATATGATAGGTAAACGTTTTCTGAACTTTGTATACCAGTAATATTCAGCCGTTGGCACTAGGATTTGCAGAAGTGCTATGAGTAATTTAGTATTTATCATTTGCTTTTATTGTATTGCATGCTTTGTTTCTTCAACCTTTTCGCTATGAAATTTTCAGGACCGAGAAGGACATCACTCCAATGGGTGGATTCCCTCACTATGGTGTAGTGAAGGATGACTACATCCTACTTAAAGGGTGCTGTGTTGGACCTAAAAAGAGGGTTGTTACACTCCGCCAGTCCCTATTGAAGCAGACTTCTCGTTTGGCCCTTGAGGAGATCAAACTCAAATTTATTGATACCTCTTCGAAGTTTGGACATGGTCGCTTCCAAACTACAAACGAGAAGCAGAAGTTCTATGGAAAGCTGAAGGCTTAAAGGTTTATCAACAGTTTTGCACTGCAGGTTTAGTGAATTTAATGGAGACACTGTTTTCATTATATAGGTGTTTTTGTGGGCAAGTCCCCTTTAGACTTGGTTTGAGTTGCATTTTAAACTGTTCAGGACCTGAATAATTTTCTAAATGTTGTTTTATCAAAGCTATGTGGAAATTGGAACAACTAATGGCGACAATATTTAAGTTTTTCTAATTTATGGCTAGTTTAGTACAATGGTTGGTCATTTTTCTATATAGATTGTGTAGCCACCGGTATCCCACTTAATTGAAATTGATATTGTGAAATTACCAAACCAGATGCCACCTTTATCTGAAGTGGCATACACTATCGACGAGGAAATGTGTTGGCACACACTTAAAGAACAATGTTTTTGAACCGTCATTGATTGGGATGGTTGGACCGTTTGGCTTGGAAATCATCCAAGCAACTGGTTCTGTTTCACCCCTAACCCATTCTTGGGTCAAAAACCACCGTTAACTTTGTCAGAAAGTTGTTGATCTGGGCTGTCGAATTGTTGACTCGTTTGATTTGACCAGCGGGTTGCCATATAATGTTGTAGAACTCAGAATGAGATTGACACAAATTCAGTCAGATCTGCGATAAGGAGAAGAAGAACTACAGGTGTTTAGACTTTAGAGAACTAGATTTCAGATCTGCATCTATTGCTGCCGCCATCACTCGTGAGCATTGAATCCTCTTTCCTTCTCTTTTTCCTTCTTTTTTTTCTTTCTCAGCCGAATCTAACTTTTCTCAACCAACATCTTAATTCATGTATACATGAGGTTTGCACATTAGGGAAAATCTCATATAAATATTTGCCCTAATATGCAAACTGTTTGAACTGTTTGACCCAGATGGTTAAACCGCTGACCCAGAAGTCAGTAGCCAGAACGGTTTCATTTCCGGATCGGTTTTTAAAACCTTGGTCAAGAATGAATGGGTTTCAGAAAGTTGATACATTCATCTTCTCTGATGGAGAGGAACCTTTCCGAGTTTCAGAATGAGCAAAAGGGATCACACCCAAGTTCAAAATATTGTCACGTATAGTCGGAGACTTTCCGATATGCCCTACGGCTGTCTCTTTTTTGTAGTTAAAAAGTCATTGGGCATTTTAACTGCAAAAAGAGACTAATCCTATAAATAAGAAATGCCAAATGCAGTCTTAGTATCTTGAAAAATAGATAACAATAAGTTGTGAAACCTCGTTGATAAGGCTTGACTTTAGGAGGTTTTGCATGTAAAAATCCAATAACGCATAATCTGTATGTTAACGTTTCTGCCAGAGATGATATGGAGAACTAGAGAATGATGGGAAGATATTATTGGTTGGGTTTTTATGTTTCATATATTTATTATAGGGTAAACTTAGGATGCAGACAAGGTTCAAAATATTGATACACCCAATATGCTGGTCTGGGCGTATTGGGCAAATCGATACTGTTTTTTTTTTTTAATATTTTTTTGAAACTGGTTCAGGGGGACTGGTTTAGGGCTCCTCCATCCCCTGAACCGGTCAGGCCCCCGATACATTCACTATAGAAGCATATCGGAGGGGTCCCAGAATGATATGTATCAATACTTTGAACTTGGATGCGGAAAAGATATGATATGGAAAGAGTTTTGACCAATCAAAACCCACCCATGAATTTTAATAAATAACACCTTATTTACTACCACGTTTATGATTCCACTTTATTGGTTAGTTGTTTTTTAGATATCATATCATTTTTTCATATCATGGTCGCACCCATTTACTATAAAGTAGTTTTTTTTTTTTTTTGTGAAAATACTAATTACCATTCCAAGCAAAAATTCTTTGTAAGAGTTCATATAAGGGGGAGGATGATTAAAATGTGCCACCTTCCCATTCAACAACTGGGCCCTCTTTGCAGTTTCATGGGCCAACGAGCTTCTCCTAGAAATATGATTAAATTTAACTTATAAACTGTTAGAGCAAAAAATGATTTGGTCCACCACATGCCACAATTTCGGGTCAATATTTACAGACCAAGAGTTTAACAAGTTCACAACTAATAAACTATCAGAAAAGATAGAAATGTTCGAGTAGCATCTTGCTTCGTACATAGCTCCATCTGCAGAGCTGATGGGCATTACGAAAAAACTGCCATCACAAAATAACAAGTAACTTGACCTCTGGGATGTAAAGTTGTAAACCCCCTACGGGGGGGTTCCCAGGTTCAAGGATCATAGAACTTTCAGTAGTTTTTTTCTTGCTGTACAACAAGTTTGGAGATTTCTCCCTTTGCTTTCTAAATTTTCAAAATAACTCTATGTAACTACTCCAAACTTACCTCTGAAAATTAAATTATTCCTAAACCACCAAATATGATAGGAAATCATAGAAAAAGCCAAATAAAAAAAATCAACTTGATTTTCTTTGTTTACTAGGACAGAGATCACAGCATTAATGGTACCACAAATTGAACTTATTGCCAGATTTGTTACATTAGCTATTGGAGTAGAAAATCAGATTGCTTTGGCAATGGGACATTGAAAAAAAAGGTGAAGGGTAGTCTTATTCTCAACCTTGCAAAAGCTGCACATAGAAGAATAAGCAAATCCTTTCAGGTTCAAATACCCAAGGTAACCACACAACCCTTCACAAGTCTCCAAAGAAAAAGTCTGTATCTTAGGAGCACAGGAAGATGCCATATTTTCCACATCAGAGAACGGTGCATTGGGTATACGAGCCACCAGAAAAACCTAGAGAGAACACTTCCTTCTTACCTAGGGTCCAGAAAAATATTGGTCTTTAACAGACATCCTGGAAACATGGGTTTGATTGATTATATTAATCTAGGGTTCATCAAAATGGTTTCTCATGATGGAGTCATCAGTCATCCCACAGAGACCGGATCTGTTCCTCACACTTGGCGCCTCACAAGCGTTTCACACACATCCTATTACACATTGGGAATATCTTCTGTACTTATTTGTTATTATTCATGGGAGATGTTCTCAATGCACGGTGGATGTGTATGTGAGGCGCCCATTTGTGAGTAGCAGATCCCATCACCATCCAACAGCCCTCTCTCGTCAATAGCATCAGCCAAGGTGAGCCTTGCCTGTGGGACTATTGAGTCCCCCACAGAGCAACATCCCCTGACGACCTCGCTCTACAAATTATGAGAGGAAAAACCTTAATGAGGGCCCTAGTTAAGTTTTTCCAGAAAAAAAAAAGAAGATTTTTTCTTCATTTTCTGATTTTCTGAAGAAACAAATTCAGATTTTTCAGGTATCTATTCCTAAGGAGTTTGACCCACAATGAATCTTTCTTATTAATAAAAGGCCAAGCCATCTTTCTTATCATTAAAACTATCAGGCAGTTTAAACACAAACATCACATGATTAAGGACAGATTTTGTCAGCACCAGCTTTCCTGCTTGGGAGAAGGAGGCTGCTTTCCAATTATTCAGCTTTGATTTTCGTTTATCAATAATATAGTTCACAAAATTTGGCTTATTCTTTTTCCAGATTAAAGTGATTACTAAATAGTTTGCTTGGCAATCCAAATCCCCCATCTTAAGTTATCTTTTATTTAGTTTAGCCCCTTTTATGACTGGCACTTGTACTAAAAAAATGCCTGATTTCCCACAATTGATTGTCTGCCCAAACATCCACTGAAATTTATTTAAGGCATCTAGATGGTTTGCAGTAATATCTCTTTTGGCTTTTGACAAAAATAAAAACAAAAAAAAAGAGATGGGAAATTGAGGGAGCCTCTCTACAGATCTTAATTCTTCTAATAAGACCTTCACTCTTAGCCCTTTCCAAAATCCTAAAGAGTCCTTCCATGGTAAGGATAAAAAGGTAAGGAGATAGGAAATATCCTTGCCTTAGGCCTCTTGTGTAGGTCTGATCATGGGCCGGGCTTAGAACCAATGATAAGGGCTTTAAGCTAGGCCTAAACCCTCACCCCGGGCCTAGATTGCAAGCCCAAGCCCAACCCTACATGGGCCCAGGCTGAGCTTACGGGCTTTCCAGGCCTAACAAGTAAAGACAAGCCCATGAAATCAAATAATAAAATTTTAAATTAGGTAATATGTACAAAAAATAGCACAAGCCAAAGGTAAATTGGGCTGAGCTTACGGGCTTTCCAGGCCTAACAAGTAAAGACAAGCCCATGAAATCAAATAATAAAATTTTAAATTAGGTAATATGTACAAAAAATAGCACAAGCCAAAGGTAAATTGGGCTGAGCTAGACTTTAGGCTTATGACACAAAAATCAAGGCATGAGCCTCATTTAATTGTTAGAATTAAATAGGCTTGGATTACCTAACCTTTTATAAAGGAAGGCAAGGCTTTTCATTCTCATTTTTTGAGCAATGTGGGACTTGGAACAACACTAAATAATTAGTGCAACCATTGAGTGATTTTCCAAGTCCTACATTGCTTAGGAAATGAGAATGAAGGCTTTTCTTAGGAGGACAATTCTCATACTTGAATTCACTCAATTCTTAATACATTTTAATTCTTAAATATTTATTTATATGTTAAAATAAAATGTAGAACTTTTATATTTAACATAAAATAATAAATATATTACGGGTCGGGCTTGAAGTATTAGGGCCAAGCCCGACCCTATATTTTTTGGACTTGATGCGGGCCTAGGCACACGCCAGGCTGTACACAAAAATTTGGGCCCAAGCCTAGAAATTTGTGGGCTGAGCCAAGAATAATCAGCCTTATTCTCGTGGGTAGAATGCATCCCTCAACTACTCTCCATTCATCAGGAATAGAAAAGACATAGATGAAAGACAGTAATGAATTAGGTTGCAGCAACTTTGAGAGAATCTCAAGCCTCTCAAGACCTCTATAATATAGTCCCACTCTATCATGTCATACGCCTTTAGCATGCATGTCCACCTTAATAGCCATAGTCCAAGGACTCTTTTTGTTGTATTTTATATGATGGAAAATTTCATGAGTTCCATATTGTCCAAAATTTGTATCCTTGGAACAAAAGCATTTTGGTAAGGAGACACACTTCTCTACCAAAATTTTTAGATGACTTTGTAAACCATATTACAAAGACTAATGGGGCAAAAATCTATCACCTGATCACACTATAGCTTTTTAGGGATAAACATAAGAAGTTTTGTAAAACAGTCATTCCTAAATGATTCCTGCCCCAAAAAGGTTCAATCTGTCCTAATCAAATCCCAAAAAGATTTGAAAAAGATTGCCGAATATTCATCCGATCCAAGA